ACCCGAGAGACATTAATAATTTTTTTAATTAACTTGAAACCTCTAAGCCAGTATGATTAAGAGACTCTAAGTTTTCACCAACCAGGCTACCCCTAAAGGCTAAGATTATGCCAATGTTTTCAAAGTGCAAAGCATACCTCGAGGCAACAAGACTCCTAATCCCCTCAAGGCAAGAGGCGACAATGTCACCTTAGTGAAGCAAGCAATGCGCACTTAATAAAATACTAAATAAATATTATCTATAATTAGTATAGGTAAAAAAAATACTCAGTTTTTAAAGTATGAAAATATTGACAAAACTACTTAATATTTAAATAAAAATTGACTTAAATATTTAGAAAATAGAGATATTCAAGAAAAAAAATCCTTTCTATAAAATAATGGTAAGAAAATGAGATTATGACTAAAATTTAAACTCACACCACTTTTTGTGTTACCCACCAATATAAATCTCTTACTTACTGCATTTTTTATTTTACTTGTCAAAAAATTAATGGTAGTCAACAAAAATGGGTATTGACCGATAAACGCCTAAATATTTTTCAATTTAAACAACACAATCTTTAAATAATGTCATATGTTAGTTGGAAAAAAAACACTGCCTAGACATAATTATTGGAAGAGAAAAATGGTCACTCGTTAACGATCAAGGAGAAATATTGCATGCACATGCGGTTAGCATTACTCCTGAATTTTGTTCTTTTTATTTTTATTCTTCTTCTTCTCATTCTTCATCTTATTTTTTCATTTTCTTAATCTTTTATTCTCTCTTCTTCTTATTAATTTTCTCCTTTCAAACTTTTCTCTTCTTTCAATTATTCCAACTCTTCCATTTCTCATATAAATAAGGTTTCATCGCCCATGATAATAGGTGCTCACCTAGCTTTACGATGATGCACTGAATGGTGAGAAATGGCTCACCATGGCGTTTGAAGGCATTCGCCATGAACACACCTTCGAGGCATGAAGGCCTCACCACAGGCGAGCATCTGAGTTGGTCTCAACAACACTAGATTATGTTTTAAGATGAAGTATCTTTTCTCAACCTATATATTTTGATATTAATTTTATTAAAGCAATAAGATAAATGACTTATCTAACATGTTTATATGGAGATAAGGAATAAATGGCAGTATAAACTACATGGTCATATAAAATTGTACTCTTTTTGGAGTTTTTCTTGAACACTTTTTGTATGTTTTCATAATAATAATAATTATTATTTATTTTCTTTTTATTATTATTACTTTTTGTTAGGTGTTTTTTTTTTTTTGTTAAAAACAAGATTGCACTGCAACACAAGTGTGGTGACTTTATCTGAATTTTGAAGTAATTTATAGACTCTCATCTACGAAATTATGTCCAAGTTACGTGGTTACTAAGAAAGACAAAAATTTATGCTCAATGAGTCAACCATGGTAGGAATATGACTCGAGTGAGCTGGAAAGAGAGTTTCCAAACTGAGTTCACACCTTTCCTTATTTGGAAACTAGATGACTCATTTTCTTGAATGCATATTCAAATCTTGAATGTTGAAGGGAAAAAAAAAAGGAGGACTCAATCTCTTACAAATACTCACCTAGAAATAAGAGGCAAATTGAGAAACTTTTAGTCTTGTTAATGCACAATATCTTCATCATGCATCCCAATTACAAAATGCTTAAGAATCGTCTGAAGCAAGCTCTATATGGGCCTCGCTTAATTTCAACATATTGGTGCCTTACAGTATATCACTACTACTCACGAGTTGAGCTCCTTGTTATTCTCAAGGAAAGGTTGTGAAGCAAATTACACATTATATTGCTGGAACCATGTATTTTGACTGGTTAGCTTCATCCAACTACTACTCTCAATTTAGAGACTTCTATGATACTGAAATCCTATATGGCAAACAAAACTCATTGTGTTTATTATTAGTTTGATCTTTTGGAGTTGTTTTTGTATTTATGAGTGTACATATACCAGTTTGTACTAAGTGCCTATAGTTCCAAGAAAGCGTGCGTTCACGTCGATGAATCTCGGTTTTTGATGTAGTTGCAATAAGTTTGCTTTTTTTCATCAAGATTGGGTTGGTGTTCCATGTACCATCGGTACAAGATCGAAAAGAATTCGCACCTCGTCTAATCTCACGAGACAATTGTCTGACCCTAATACATTTGGTTGCTAAGAAATTTATAGGATAACAAATCCTAGGTAGGTGGCCACCATGATTTGAATTCATTGCCTCTAAATTCTTTAAAATTTACCTTGGTCCCTTTGGACCACCGGGCCGGCCAACCTATGATAATTAGAGTTTCATGTGACAACAAGTGTTCTTAGTCAATTACTAAGTTGAATATTGAAGTGTACTAAAAAAAATGTTGAATATTGAAGTCTTACAACTACTAAGCTGAATATTGAAGTCACGCAGGTGTCGCAGTTGAGCTATCCTCATCTCTTTTTGTCAAGTTCTTCTCTTCACTTTTTACATATCTAATTATGTGGTGTGATGACTTAAATATCGTTTGGAAGGTTGCCTTGTTTTCCTTGCTACTCACTCATTCAACATGCTTGAATTAAGCATATTGAGTTTGATATATATTTTGTTCATGAAATGGTTGCTTGTGTTCTTATTGGTGTTCGATATATTCACTCATTCAGAATGCTGATATTTTGACTTAGATTCTTCCAAGTTCTTAATTTTTGCATATACGAACCATAACTTGTGAAGTAACACAATCCATAACTTATGGACACTTGATCGAAGTTTATTTTCTAAATAAACCTTGACCATTTCTATCTATATTTTCCTTCAGACAAAATAGAGGAGACTAGGAGAGTTAGTACCGTCACCACAATTTTACCAGAACACAGACACACGTACATGAGCCGACAAGGCACACACTGACTACAAACTACAACTCGACAGCATATTATTACTATTACTTACAACATACAGAGAAGAATTATCAGGCTCTAAAATATAAATCCACATAAAAGAAACATAATATTGGTTTCAAGATCCAACCTTGTGCACCAAAGAGAAAATTTTCAATTCACTTTTCGGAACTCCATAAGCCAGGTGAGCCTGCCAAAAGTCAGATAAGATGTGAACTACCCAACTTATCCTCTGTTTGTTTCTCTGTATTTTACAAATATACTCTTAAAGTTAGCTAGCCATGTACCAAAGCAAATTTAACAAAGAGAAGGCACTCACATGCATGATCGGTGCATTATATAAGTTAATCCAGAAGCCTAACCTTTCATCATTGTTTAAATGAATGGGATACACTTTTGCAAGTTGCTTGACAAGAGTGCTGTTCACAATACAAATAAATTAGCGCAATAACATGCCAGCTCTAGATCTCAGTAAAATTTTGCAGATATGGCAAAAAAGAAGAGAGATTCCAACAAACATGGAAGAAAAATCAAGGACAAAGTGGTTCTCATAAACCCTACTGGAACTTCCTCAACTCCTTGCGCAGAGTCTAATTTCCTCTAACCAACCGATATCCAAGAAACTTCAGCATGCTTGTGATTGTGAATAATTTCCAATCTCGGCCCAACTTAGTTTTTCATATACACTAAAGTCACAGGCCTATTATGGAGCTGCAGGAAAAATCAGTTTGTCGAATTTGTAGCACTAGTGACGAAATAATTGACTGTTCAGATGATAACCACGATGATGAGTTGGACAGATGTCCTCAGGGTAGGCAGGTGAGCTTTGGATATTAATCGTTGATGATTCATATGACACAGCAGAATCTGCTAGATGGATGACCATGTTTTTCATACATCTTATCATTTCTTCTGATAATAGGTGATGTCAAAGGCCAATTGTCACTGCCCCTCGAGATATTTTCTCACATTCATCGGATCAGGAACATCCGTTGACCTCTGTTACAGATGTTTGCAGTGTAATTCAACTAGTCCAATTGAATTCTGATTCGGCATAAATGAAGCTTCGGCATTAATCCTGAAAAATTATGGTTTAGTGACACAAAATGTATTAACAATGACAATTGAAAATTGCACCGATATAGCTTCTAACAATTATCAAGATTTGACCCTATAGTTTCCTACAAATGCATCTTTTTAGTTAAAATCAGAAGTTCAATTTCTCTCTATAACATCTGGAAGACATTACTGAGGTCAAGTTATACAACCCAAAAGGGATGGAGGGAAACAAATCTAGTGATGGGCTAAAGAAAGAGATACAAGTTGAGCCGAGGATCTTTAAACCAATGGGTCTAACAATAAACATGGAGGTGGCCCAACTCGTTGAAGACCAAAAATCAATTAAGCAGGGGAGAGGCACAACCATCCAAACTACAAATTGATTTTTTAGGTATTCTTGAACCAAAACACATGCTCCACAATAGAAACAATATGTGGTGACTCGTTTCGTGTAGGGGCAGCCTAATAAAATTAATAAACAAGCATACATACAGGAGCGTCTACTATGAGCAACATTTCATACAATAAACTAACAAATGCAAAGTTTCCAAGACGGCTAGAAAATCAGGTTTATTGTCGTAGTGAAGATAAATATTTGATGAGAAATATGTGCAAGAATAAAAGCTCAAAAAATGTTAGGGAGGAAGGTGCCCTCTACAATAGAGGAGAGTAATACACAAAGGTAAAAGAAATAGCAAAACTGCCTCTTAATTCTGCGCACAATGAAGCTTAGGGGGACATTTGAGGACAACTGGACAAGTATGTGGAGATCCAGGTGAACTGTTGGCGACCCATAGTTTCATAGGATAACATCTAGGAATTAGGCATGTTGGTCGTGACTCAAAGAGATGTGGCCACTCCACCAGCTATCATGAAGGTTGTTCACTTCTTTCTGCAAGTATTTTCTACGTTGGAGGGGTTGCCTCTACTGCGAGTATTCAACCAGGACATCACATTAAAAAGAGTTGTTCCCAATAATGTCCAATCATATTACAGTCCCCAGGTTCAGAAAAATGAGGTCGAAAGGTTGGTGGGGGAGATGTTAGCCATGGAAATTATCCGACCAAGTCCCAGAAGAGTCTCGAACCATGCTTAAATTCTCCAAAACACAACACTATTCCTCTTCTCGTTCCCTTATATGAAGAAGTATATATCTTTGTGACGACCCAATTTGAATAACAATATTTTCCAACTTTATTTAACCTTTTTGAGAAACTTGACCAAAAGATATTGAAGAAGCTTGACTACTAATTCCATTGCAAGCTAAAATAAAAAGAATAGAACGCCCTTTTCTCTTCCAAATGAAAACAAATCCCCAAGATTTGTTAAACGAACCAATTGGAAATAACATTTTTTTCCACACTACAGCTACTAAACTCCATGAATTAAAGTTAAACATCCTCTCTTTTTTTTCTTTTTTTTTTCTGATAAGAAACAAGAGAGACATCGAAGATAGACATCACTTTTCAGATTTTGATGTTAGACTGAAGGCGTTAACCATTAGTGCAGCATGGCCTATTAGTTAATTACCCTCTAGTGGCCGTCTACTTATTGCGACTAATAGAATTATAAAATTGTCGGCCAATAGTGGAAACATGTCCTAAGGTTCTTTTGCAAGCATTTTCCTCAATGCAGTATTATGATTAGATCAATTTTTATGTCCCAATACTTTTTGGATAAAGAATTTTTTTTTAATGTCCTAATCGACAGTACACAATTTTCTCCTCCTCCCATGCGGCAAAAAGGAAGAAATCACTCTCTCCAAAGAAAATACAACTTTCGCCGAGAGGCAAAACTAGATTGATTAAACAATACGCCAGTATCATATCAAGCGTCCTAACATAAATACTTGATATGTGTGGTAAAGATCACTGGAACCAAAAAATAATCACAAATAACATAAGTACTTGTACATGCATATAGAGAAATACCGCAAGATAAGATTGCATACTGCGCTGCGTAATTGACCAGCAACCCGTCAACAACATAGATCCCACGATAAAATAACTCAGCACAAAATCTAGTGCCTCTGCCATCAGATCCTTGGTGGATTATGGATCTGCTCCAAATTCCAATAAGTCTTATCCCGTTAACCGCGAGCACCAAGAATTTCATTTAGTTACGGTATATGCCATACAACAGCCCACTTGTTTTCATTCACTAGAAACGTGGAGGGTGGAGGATCCCCTATCTTCTCCATACAACAGCCCAACGACTTCCAAAGGATTCCATGTCAAAGATTCACCAAATTGAATCGTATCTCCCATCAACCACCATAGTCGGCGGCAGTAAGCCAGTTAAATCTAAGTATCAGTAACAACGAGCAAACTTGGGAGTGAGAAATTATGACATGGGCGGGTGGAATTTCTGAAATTCCACACGCCAATGTCATAATTTCTCACTCCCAAGTTTGCTTGCCAGCCAGAGCTTAAAGATTTCAGCAACAGATATGGTGAGTGGATGAAATATAATTCCATCGCGAACAATCGAATCGAGCTGTTCTTTGGTTTCAAGAAACATTTATTGGAGTCGGATCAAAGGGTGTTCCTGAAACCCTATTCTGGGAGTTCAAAGAAGACGAAGAAGAAAGTTTCTATGGCTTCCGAAAACAAGTTTGAGGAGACGGAGACTGGAGAGAGGGAAAAATGGAATCTTGGGAATACAGGGGGCGTAGAAGACAGAAGAGCGTCTGCGTTCTAAACCATTTTAAGGGTATTTTGGTCCTTAAATTAATTGGGATCTGTTTCTTGCTTTTAAGATTAACATGTATTTATCTTTCTAAATTATTTTTAAATTATGTAATCTTTCTTTTTTTTAATGTAATATTTCTTTCTTTTTTAATGTAATCTTTTTTGTTTGGGTGGACAAAACGACAGTCTTTTTCTCTTATGCCCACCATGTGAACTCATATGTAGTTCTGTTGCCATATCTTCCAACGTGTTGAATCGTGGACCCTCTAACTTCATGTGTAAACCATCTGACCTCCTCAATACTCTATTAGACTTTGATGAAATCTTCATTCTTCGTTAAGCAACCGAATAACTTCAATACAATTTATTTAAATTATATAATCTTACATCAAAACTATAGAAACTCTTATAACTATGCTATTTCAACTTATAAACTCATTATTTTTTTTTTATAAAATTAGAATAGATGAAATATATGATATTATAATACTAACATGATTTAAAATGAGAGATAAGTTGGCAGAAATTATAAAATCGAATTATGCACCTTACCTGTTATACCAATATCACAATTACAAACAAATTTATCACGTATATATTTATAAATATATTATTTTAACAATTTTTAAATTTGAGGTTTAATCTGTTTAAAGTCAATAACTTTTATTAATTTATAAATATATCATTTGAACAATATTAATTTAAATCTAGATACAAAAACATTTCAAGTGGGTCTTGATTTCAAATTAGGGACCCTAACATACGAGGCCAACATGAGTTTAATTCCAGAATAATTGATATCCCACCTACCTATTTATTGTACTAAAGAAATTCTGATAATTCAATAATTAAATCAAGCAAATAAAAAAAAATTAATAACACAAGGTGCGAGATTTTGGGCAATTTTGGAGAAAATCAAAGTATTGGCAAGGGGTAATAGAAAATCAAAGGAAAAGGCAAAATTACAGTGTTTGACGAAGAGAAGAAGCGAGGGAGTGGGGCGATGGAAGCACTAAAGTTCATATGGGAGGGTGCAATTCCATTGCAGATTCATCTCCACGAATCCGAAGTCACCACCGTCCCTCCTCCTCCCCCCGCCATGGTAATTCTCTACTCCTCTTTCGCTGCACTTCTCATTTTCTGATATCATCAATGGATGCTTATGAATTATGATGGTCTCTTTCTGTTTATCTGGGAAATTTTCAACTCTGTTTTGCCAAGTTGGGCTGTTGTATTTGGTTCTTCTTGTGTTTTCAATTTGAAGTTTTGAAGAGGAGATGTTTGTCTGTATCTTAAGATTGTGTATTATGGTGTATTTCAGGTCTTAGCTCCTCGGATTGGCTACTTGCCTCTCTTGGCTTCTCAGATCAAACCTTACTTCAGTAGTACGCTTCCTCCTGGAGTTGACACCATTTGGTTTGAGTACAAGGGTTTGCCACTTAAATGGTATGTTGTTCTTTTTTCTTTTGAATTTCCGCTTTATTTATAGTGTCTTGGAATTGTGTGGATTAGTTTGAATTATCTTTAGTAATCTGCCAACTCAGTCATAGCCCGAGGTAGATCCTCCTACTAGCCTCTGTTGTTATGAGTTATAACTACTCACTAGCTCTTCTCCGTCATTCTCTCTCTTTAGGGGAAGTTCTTATGGATTTCTTATGTATCTATAACCGCTACATTTTTTATTTTGATCTAACTCTTTCTTCTCTAACTGCTCATGTCTCACGAGGTACACCCTACGCCATCTTCCTTAGTTATGGAGAAGAAAGCTGAAAATTGAAACATATTATGTTTAATTTTGTATTTTTTAATGGGAAGGACTTTCATTACTATAGAGAAGTATAAAAAGAAGAAAATAATTATAAGATAAGATATTCGACTTAACCAAATCGAGAAAGATTATAGACACTCAAAATTGTTTCTAAATAAAAATATTAAGTGAAAAAATCTATCAAGGTAATCCATTTAGAAGGCAGGCAATAATTTTGCCGTTCGCTCCATTGCAGTGATGGCAACTTTTTAGAGAATATGGAATGAGAGAAAACCAGAGGGCCTTCAAAGAGATGGTTCTATTCATGAGATTTTTTGGGACTTTGTTATGATCCTTATATCCATTTGGCATTCTACTATTTAGTACATGTCTTGACCAGTTGGACGGACCTACTTTCTGTAACCTTTTGATTTTTCAATGGAAACACAGTTTCATTGAAAAATGTCCCAAAACTTCAGAAGGTATCTTTCCTGTCCTCAAAAATTTATTTACTCATCCCAAGTCTAATCTGTCTAATGTTGCCCAAAAGGCAATAACTTTCAAGATCTTTTTGACTGCTTTAATTATTATATTTATTGTTTTTAGTGAAAAAGAGTTGTAAAATGATTTTTTAGATATTTGTTCCTAATTGTGTATGACTTTACATAACAATAACTGGAAGGACAAAAGTGTTTCAGATAGTAATCGATTATAATAAATTGTGGTTGATCAATTGGATTCCTTGCTAATTTCGTTGACGTAATTGTCAGTTTAGTTTGACAACAATATTTCCACAGTGGTTTAGTACTCTAGGATGTTCACTTTTAGAAGATTATATTTTTAGTAATTTATTCAGAATGAATAATCATGCAAAACATTACCTCATCATCATGATAGAATTTGGTTCATGCTTCTCTCAGGAATATACCGACGGGTGTACTCTTTGATCTTCTATGTGCAGAACCAGAAAGACCGTGGAATCTGACGGTACAAGTTCCATCTCTTCATTTTTATATTTCAAGTTTTTTTTTTAATAAAATTATTATAAATTGTATTAGACTCCCATTTTCCTTTAACTTGGAGGAAAGAAAAACTTTTCAAATTAAAAAGTTCTGACCTTATCTAGTTGCATTTTTTTTTCTTTTGAACAAAATATGAACTTTTCATCGATGAAATAAAAAGGAACAAAATTGCTCAATGATACAAACTCTTGAAAGAGTGAAAATACAATAAGAAAATAAAAGACAAAAAACATAACCAATAAGGAAATATCTAAAAGATGCAAAAAAAAAACTACTACGGACTAATGAAAACATCTCAATTGTTAAAAATAAGAGAAGGAGAATAATGAGAAAAGAAATCCGCCAGAGAACACCAATGAGAGGCCTTAAACTTGGCTGAATTGAGACAATCAAACAAAGATCTTCGTTTGCCCTTAAAGAGCCTTGTGTTCCGCTCAAACCATATTTCTGAGAGGAAGCTTTCAACCGTATTAATCCATAAAAGTCGAGCCGTAGAAGAGAAATGCATAGTCTTGCCGAAACAAGTTGGCTTTAGCTTTTAAATCGAAAACCCAATCCATCTTGAACTATCTAAAAAGAGATGACCACCCTTCCTTCCAAAATGAATAGTGAAAGAAGACATGATCAAGATCTTCTCCACTATTCTCACAAAGAACGCAAAATGATGGAAGCAACAAAGCTGAAGGAAGTTTCTTTGTATCAAATCTACGGTATTTAACTTCCCATGATAAAGAATCCAAGAAAACACATTTAGGACTTTTGGATTTTTACAAATCTATAAACAAATCTCGATGCATAGAATAGGACTGATTCAATATGCAAATGGAGCTCACTGTAAAATACCAGAAGGATCAATTGTCCATAAATGTTGATCCTCACCCTGAGTAATCGAGACCGAACCGAGTGTATTCAGAAGGCCACCAAATTCCTCCATCTCATCATCCTTTAGTGATCTTCTTTAGCACAATATTTTAAGAACCTTTTGTTGTGTCCCAAAAATCCGGAACAGAACCATGGGAAAGGAAGAGAGTTTGAATAACTTGGAGAAACTGACCTTTAAAGGACCGTTCTGAGTCCAAAGGGAATGCCCGTATGAAATTGACCTTGTCTAGTTGCACATGAAAATTAATATATTTGGGTCATGATTGTATATTATGTGACTGCAGTTGCATCTGAAGTATGAGAATTCTAGGTGTGTCAACGACAGATTTAGGATTGAAGGTGCATGACTGCTGATTGAACTTTGTAGGAACGGAATTTCAGCTACTTTGTAGTTTTATTTATCTTTACTTTCAGGATAATAACTCAATCAAAGTTTAAAATTTCAAGTTCGATGAAAATACCATATATTTGCCAGAGTATGAGTGTAAGAGAAGAGAAAAGTAAAAGGTGTTCCTCATTGGGATTAACGTAAGCTTGTAGGAGGTGGATGCGGTGGCTTACAACATGTAGTGTAAGAGGAGAAATTTTCCTTTGGCCCCCTTGGGGATAGCCATTGGACTGTTGCTTTTTGGGAGCCGTTGTTGGATAAAATTAGAGCCAAGCTACCTAAATGGAGGAGTTTGCAAATTTCAAAGGGTGGAAGATTGATGTCGGTTCAATCGGTTGTAAATAGTATGACCATTTACTATTTTTCTATTCTTTGTGCTCCTTTCAAAGTCATTAACTCTTGGAGAGGTTGATTATGGACTTTATATGGAATGGTGGTGAGTATAGATTTGGTTCCCACTTGGTTAGTTGGAAATGGGCCCTTTTGCCCTCCATTTATGGAGACCTTGGGGTCGGGTCCTTCAAATAAAGGAGCAACGCCCTTTTGATGAAATTGGTAGAGATTCACTCAGAAGGAAAATATTCTATGGAGGAGTTATTGTGGCCATTTATAGGGTGCAACTGTTGGGTGGATCACAAATTCCCACTGAGGCTCTAGTACATGTAGATCTCGGTTCAACGTTGCTACAAGTAAATATAATTCCATAGTCTCTAGACCATATTTTCTTGCATTGCTCTTTCGCTTATTGTGGGTGGTCCTTTAATCTAAATGAGTTGGGGCTGTATTTACCTAGCTAGAAATGGGGACGATTGGTTTTCGGAAGTCCTAAAAGGTTGGAACATTAACGATAAGGCTAAGATTTTGTGGGATTGTGCAATGAGAGGTCTTGGTTTTCAAATATGGAAGGGGAGAAACTAGAGAACTTTTGAAGAAAATTTGTCTTCTTTAGATTATTTATTTATTAATTATTATTATTATTATATTTTTTTGTAATAGTGTAAAGATCAATGCATGTTGGTGTTTAAACCATAGAAACTTCTTTTGCAATTGTAGTATTATTTTTGAATTGTAATTGGTTAGCTTTTGGGCCGGGTCTATGTTGTTAGAGAGAGGAATTTATTTAGCTCGTTGTGGGGAATAGGTCTCACATTTTTTTTTCCAAATAGACCATCGGATTGGCATTGATTCCCTTCATAATTTGTTTTCACACCCCTTTAATTTTTCTCTCAAAAAGATGTGTTCATTATTCCAATTTTGCTTTCTAACAATGGCTTTCTTCCCTTTCCCACCACCTTCATTTTGGAAAACCTCCTTGTGACTAGGAATCTAATATTCTAATTCTTTGCTCAGAGTATAGCCTTCCCCAGTAAACTCTAGTGTGGACCCCCAAGATTTCAACATCCTTGATTGTAAGTCTTTGCTTGCTTGTTTGATGGATCATGGCCATCACGTCCTTTCTAATTCTTCTTTCTTTGTTATTCTTGTAATTTTTTGCTCACTCGTGGGATGTCCCATCGCAGAACATAGACATTGCACCTAGATTATTTGAAGAATTTTTGGGTGAGGGGGTAGTTATGAGGTTCTTGTAGCAATGAACAAGCTAACGCTAACAAATTCTAGTGTATGGAGAAGGAGAAAGAGTTGTCTTCGACTCTCTTAGTGATTCTAGCTCTATTGTGGTGCTACTCCTGTACCTATTACCTACTTTAATGAAAAAGGTATTTTATTTTCTCTTTTTTAAGAATGCAACCAAACTGATTTTGTTAGTTTCACACTATCGAAAGAGAAGGGATGAGAGGAGTGGTGCTACTCCTGTACCTATTACCTACTTTAATGAAAAAGGTATTTTCTTTTCTCTTTTTTAAGAATGCAACCAAACTGATTTTGTTAGTTTAACACTATCGAAAGAGAAGGGACGAGAGGAGATGGTGGTGATGTTGAAAAAGTTGGAAAGGTAGACATGCTGAGTTGGGATGGGGATGAAGGCATGAGAAAGGAAAATGGGAAAGGGGAATGGGAGACGAGAGACATAGGAGTAACGATGTTTATAGTTAGTAATTCCCAATGCATTTGGAATAGTGGTCTTCTAAGTTCTAACAAATAAAGCCAATTAAAGCCATCGACTGTATTTAAATTAGTAAATTAATAAGGTAAAAATGCCTTTTTGGTCCTAAATCAAACACTTTTGCCTATGAGGTTTCAATAATGCTCCCTCTCGGTCACTAAGTTAACAAAACCGTTAATGAAATGCTAACTAGTATATTATTTTTATGTTGTTGTAGCAAAAATATTTATTTTATAATATGTTATAGGTGATGTGGCAATCTCTCGCTCACGTCTAGTCGTCCCCACCTCTAGCCTTGCGTTGCTGGCTGTTGACCACAACCCTTCACTTCTTCCCATTGTTGGTCGCCCCGACCCCGCCTTCCCATCACCCACATTCTTCCCCACCCTGCCCTCTTTCCCTAGTCCAACATCCCCATCCTCTAGTCGTCGACCACTACCACCACCCCCTCACCCATACCCTTGTCATTGGCTGCCAAATGCCCCC